ACCCAGATTAGTACAGATAGCTGTGGTACCGAGGCTGGTATTCTTTAGCTGGCAGCCACTGGGGGAGACAGAGCTCCAGTTTCCATCCTTTTCAGCTATGTCATTCCTAGGCAATGCTCCAGAAAACAAGGATAAAACACATGCAATCCACAAGCAGAGAGGAATCCTTGAGGTAGAACAAGTCAACCTTGACTTGAACATTGTGATCTCTTGGATGTCACTGCTGCAGAAGAAATTCCTTGGAGATTTTTAAAGTATCACTAACCAAAATATCTCTTCAGTTCTGTTCACGTTATGGCCAGTATGTTTCTGTGAATGAGTGATTTACACAAGATCACCATAGTAAGATTGTAATCTCTTTGAGGCCCCAACTGCAGATGAGGTACCCTTCAAGATTTTGAAGATTTCACCTTCTTGCAATGAGAATATTGATATCCCAGACGAATTTGCAATGTCAGTATCCAGATAGTGATGACTGAACCAAGATAAAGCCAAAAGATATTTGATGAGTATATGTAAAAATATCATAAAGTTAACCACCAACCCAAAGAGAAGCTGATCAATTGTGTACTGAGTCACTAGATCAGAGCCATCCATGCAGCAACTTTGTTTCATCCACTTGAAATTTATTATCCTACCTCTTGAAATACAAAATGATTGTCTTTGTTGGAGGAAGTGTTCATATAAAAAATAATTTTTACTTTTGTTAGCAAAAAAGGAAAATGTAATATTGGCTGCCCCACGATGTTTCACTTTCGTAATCCAAAATGCTTAAGACATTAACACCTGCAGTTTAAGGGATAGTTGAGTTCTTTTTTCAACTACGGTTAATGATTTATGTGAAGATATTCCTATACATTACTTCAAATATGTCGATGATTTATCTTTAGTAAAATGTCGTAAATCAACAGACGTTTCACAATTACAACCCATACTTTAACTCTGTGCAATACTGTTCGCAATCAAACAATATGTCACTCAATCCTTCAAAGTGTTTTACCCTGCAAGATACTTTTATGAAAAAATCCTGCTTCTCCTGAAGTTCGTTCCATTAATGACTCTACTATATGCAATGTACAAACTAACATATTTGTTGGTATTTTATACAGGAAACTTTCCTGCCCAGGTACATTTTTTTACCATCCTTGAAGGGAATATTGAGAAAGTAATTTCATTGTCAAATAATATCGTTTTGCTGGGTGATATCAACTGTAATATGAGAAATGATGATACATTGTCTAATAATATTAAGGATATTGGTCGTATTTGCCAGCTTAATCAGTTAATCAATGAGCCTTCAAGAGTTACACCTCATAGTAGTACACTCATTGATTTAATACTTACCTCGAATTCTATTGCTAACTTGAAGTCCGGCGTAATGTCCATTGGTTTTAGTGACCACTATTTAATATTTCTAGTCGTAAAAGGCAAAAATCCAATGCTTCATTCGAAAATATGTAAATTTTGATCTTTTCGAAACTTTAACGAAAGCAAATTTTAAGAGGACTTGAGAAATCAAAATTGGGCTGACTTCAATGAAGAAAATGTTGAAGTTGATAAAATGTGGTCTCATATCAAATCTGTGTTTACAATATTAAATGATAAACATGCACCTTTTATTTCTGTCGAAAGAAAACGAAATGGGGTGCCTTGGATAACAGATGAATATATATTACGTTGGCACGTGACCGTGATTACTATAAGAAAAGGTATAAAAAGACGAAGTGTGATTGTTGCTGTGAAAAGTTCAAGTATTAAAGAAACAAAGCAAATAACCTAAACAACAATCTTAGAAAAGAGTATTACCAAAACGAGTTCTCCGAATGCAGAAATGATTTGAGCAAAAATTTGAAGATTTTGAAAAGACTCTTGCCTTCAAGGCAAAAGGAGGTAAACAACACAATCTTAATTGATGATGAAATAATAACTGACAAAGTAAAGGTGGCAAGTTTATTAAATGAAACTGAGTAATTTGAGTTCAAATCTACAAACTGGTTCACGTCCTAGCATAGTGGATGGCAATTTCAATTCTTTACAAACTTTATTTCAAACCGATTGTTCTTTCGAATTTCAAGAAATCAAATCAGAGTTTGTTAGAAATGAACTACGCAATATTGATTGTAAAAAAGCTACTCAAGTTACTCAAATTATCTGCAGATATCATTACAAAAATTTAATAAATCATTAAAAATTTCATGATTTCCATTTAATTTCAAGGTTGCAAAAAGCACTCCGATACACAAGGGAGGTACGTTTAGTGTTGATAATTTCAGACCCATTTCAATACTACCCTCTTTGTCAAAAATTCTAGAGAAAGCCATACATAAACAAATGCATTCTTACCTTAACCAAAATAATTTATTATCAGAACGTCTGTCTTGATTTAGACCACTTCATTCCACAATTACATGCCTTACCAAAATTACTGATTACCTTCTTGATAATATGAATTCGGATCAGATTACTTTAACTATATTTTACGATCTTAGGAAATCGTTTGACGTTATTCCACATAAAATAATACTTGATAAACTAATTTTCTATGGCATAAGTAACAAGCTGTATGGATGGTTCAAATCTTACTTGATTGGTAGACAACATTGTGTTAATATAAACAATCATTGTAGTGAGTATTTAACTGTTAAATCCGGGGTGCCACAAGGGTCAATTTTTGGCCCCTTGATTTTTTGTCTGTATATTAATAATATCAATAATTTAAAATTTCATAATAATTCCAAGATATCACTCTATGCTGACGATACTGTCATTTTTAATCATTCTAATAATTTTTCTGAAGTTCAAGAAAATTTACAGAATGACTTTGATTGAATATGTAAGTGGTTTGATAACTAAGATGTATATACACCCTCAGAAAACTATGGTACTGTCCTCTGGATCAAGGTGGAGAACAATTGTCTATCAATTAAATTAAATGGTAATAACTTACAGTATGTCGAAACAATAAAATAAGTAGGAGTTTTACTTGAATCACAAGTGACGTGGTCTGAACATATGAAATATATAAGTACTAAAATATCTCGTTCTTTTGGATGTATTCGTTGTATAAAACGCCTAATACCCCCACAAAACTCTTGTAAACCTCTATTTTGCATTGATTTTAAATAAGGATTACAACACACCACAATGTACGCTTCTTACAACTTTAAATTGGCAATGGGTCGAACAAAGATTAATATATCACTACTGTTTGTTAGTTTTTAAAAATTATAAATGTCATATGGCCCCAACATATTTAAAATAACTTATCGATTATCCCACCTTCAAATACTGTATCCGCTATTCAATTAATTCTCTTCTTGACATCCCATATATGGATTCTGAATTCAAAAAGGTAATTCTCGTATAAAGCAAGCACCCTGTTTAACAAACTTTCTTTCTCAATTCAATCAACCAAATCAATTGAAACATTTAAGCGCAGATGCCGATTGGCTAAGCATTTATTATAGTATTCAAGTATGTAATTTACCAACTCTTGGGGAGAGGAGACTAGCACTTTGTAGAAAATTCGCAAAACCCCTTTCAAATCACTTTTTTTGTCAGACCTGGTTACCTCACAAAAACACACTAATATATTTCTTCGCCGTATTCCCATTTATCAGCAATTTCAATTAAAAACAAAAAGGTTTAAAAATAGCCCACTGTCATTTTTAGTTGATATACTCAACAAAAGTTGAAAACCATTATTTTTTACTTTTTATCGTTATCGCAGGTACACTGAGTGCTTGTCTCCTCCCCCTTCCCCCGAAGTCGGCTGTTTTTAGATGTATATACCGATTTTAATCCTTTTACCATGTTTGTATTGACTTTTATGACATAATAGGAAATTTGTAAACAATAACAGCTCATGTTTTTGTTGTATTTCTAATAACTTGTGCAATGTGTTTATGGTTTTTAGTTACAGAATCAAAGTCCTATTTTGTATATTGCTAGTTGTTTTTACATGTATATCTTTAAAAGTGTCATCTATTTTGCCTAACATGTAAACATGAATATTCCAGCCACTGTCTTTCATGTAAAATTGTATTTGTATAAACCATGTTTGTGCTGTAATAAAACCATTTTTGAATTTATTTGAATTGAATTGTTAAAGACTGAAAATGCCTTCAAAGTGTATGGTTATTGCTCTTATTTTTATTTATGACATTTCTAGTGCCTTTTTAGAACCTAAAATAGCTTTGAAGGTTTTTTTAGACCGTTTTTTTAAGGCTGGTTCAAAATTGCTGAATATTTGTGGGGCACCACAAAATTGATGTCAGACATGGTTATATTTATGGATATTTCAGCCGTCTCTGAACCGATTTTGATCAAACAAAGATGATTTGTATTATTATTATACTCAAGTCAGGAATCATATCATATTTGGGAATTCCCCTACATAACAAGAATTGGATTGTACAGCCGTTTTTGGCTGATGCAGAATGACAGAACGAGGTGCTATTTAAGCATTGTCGTTGATACTTTTGTCTCAAGGAGTTGAATCATATTTCGTAAATTGATTGTAATGCAGATAATGTAGATTACAAAATTCAGCTTCATTATATTTCTCTAAAGCACCATTGGATAAACTGAAATCAGATTTATTAACCTTTGGTTGACCTACAACGATAAGGCACTAAAGCATACACCACATTTCTTCCTACAGGTACTCATGTACCTCACCTGGGTTTAGAGTGGCAATGTAGATTAAATGCCTTGCCAAAGGACAATAGGGATGAGGCAGGGATTAGGAGTTACCATCATCATCATTATCATTATTATTATCATTATCATCATCATTTTCATCATCATCATTTTCTTCATCATCATCAGCATCAGCATCATTATCATTATCATTATCATTATTATTATCATTATTATAATTATCATCATCAATATCTTCATTATCATCAGCATCATTATCATTATCTATCATTATTATCATCATCATCTTTATCATTATCATTATTACTATCATCATTAATGTTTTTCTCATTGGGCAGTGGGTGGAGACTGGCTTCTCAACTCAATGGTGCTTTGAGAACTTCATCCAGCATCGATCGATGAGACGGGCACGGGATGTTCGTGATCAGCTCCAGGGACTCATGGAGAGAGTTGAGATGGAGATTGTGAGCTGTGGTATGGATAGTGTCGTTATTAGAAAGGTAGGGTAATAAGACATTCTTATATCAATACTTGTAGTGTGTTCCCCCCTCTCCCCTCCCCCTCCAAGGAAAATTAGAAGACTGAAATGAAATGTACTAGCCTGATTTATAGTGGCAATGATAAGATGGTGATGATGATGGTGATAATAACGTGTATGATGAAGATGATTTAAATTTCAATTCAATTTCATTTCCACAGATTCATAAAAGACAATATAAATTACAATCAAATATAAAATCATTAAAACAAAAGATGAACCTGCAGAGGGGGTGATAAAAAAAACCACAGAGGTTTACCGGGGATCATCCCCTGCTTAAAATAACAATATTAAAATACAATAATTTTTTTTAAAAGAAACAATAAACACATACAAAGCATATATAAATATTACAAGCAAATCTATGTGTGGGGTGAGTAGTGGGGTGAAATAAACTCCCTGCAATTCTATGTTTTGATGATGAGGTGGTGAATGATGTTAATAGTGCTAGTGGTAATGATACTAATCATAATGATGATCATGATATTAATGACGATGTTAATGATGATGATGGTATTGATGATGACATTGATGAAGATAATGATTATTATGTCGACAATGATGGTGATGATGATGATGATAATTTAAATCATAATAATGAGGAAACATTCCTATTGAATGCAATAGTAATAACTATCTTTCCTATCTTTGAATGAATATTGCAGGCTGTAACCGCTGGTTTCTTCTACCATACTGCACGCTTCAGTAAGGGAGGTAACTACAAGACAGTCAAGCACCAACAGACAGTCATGGTTCATCCCAATAGCGGTCTGTTTGAAGAACAACCAAGATGGCTCATCTATCATGAACTTGTCTTTACAACCAAGGAGTTCATGAGACAGGTATAACAATTAAGATTTTTTTTTCTTCTTTCGTCTATTTTCATTTCTGCTGTGCCTTCTGAAGGTTTTTTGGCGAAAAAAAAAAGGAATGTGGAATTCTTACAACCCTTGGGCCTTTTCCAAGACTATAGGAAATTCAGTATGGGTGCCAAGAACATAAAGTAACATGTATGTAAATAAAATTAGTAAGTCTGAAATATGCATTAAGTACAAAAGCATGATAGACATTTGCTATAGACAAAGTATTTACTTTAACACAATTAAGACGGTTGCACTAGAAGTCTCAACCATTTGCAGAGGCACTTGATCTTGTATATGAAAGTTGCTCAAGCGTGGGTATATAGAGGGCATCACACGGGCGTATGCACGGGAGTGTAATAAAAATAATAATATTCCACTTTTATATAGCGCTTAATACAAATGTCTCTAAGCGCTTTACAGATATACTATTACCCCGGTCATTGGATTCAGTGCTTACCCGCACACAATGTGTGCACAATCTCTACTCCCAGGAGAGCATTCCAGCCAGGCGTTACTTGACGCTCAGTGTTATGTAGTGATCGGGAGTGATCGCTTCGTTGCCTATAGAGTACTTCACGAATGAGTATATAGCCACGCTTGAGCAACTTAAAACATTTATTTTTCTTTAGTCAGCATCTATATAACATACATTTTCTAATCCTACCCTTATATTCTACGATGTAGGTGATAGAGATAGAGAACGGTTGGTTGCTAGAGGCTGCTCCACACTACTACAAGGCCAAAGAACTAGAGGACGCATCGAGCAAGAAGATGCCGAAGGGCGTCGGCAAGTCAGCCGGTAGCTGATTGGAGTTACAGAAGACCGGTATCATCGGAGGACCAGTTATGGGGGATGAGTGCCGGCCATCATCCGGTATCGTTGAGATGAGACTTATTTAGAACAAACTAAAGGACAAACTTATTCCAGAGAATGTGCCTTTCTCTTGTCACTCTTTGAGTCAAGCATCATCTAAGGATCAATTGTGTATGTATAGGTGTACCTGCCACCACCCATTTTGGATCCGCTAGGCGTCATTTAGATCAAGCAAAAGAATATCTCCTATTCCAGATATAGAGAATATACATCTTTGTATCATCTCTTTCTGTCTGTCAGGCATCTTTTGAAAATCAATTATGATTGACAAGTGCCGGCTATAACGCAATAGGGATGCATTAGACCTTACTGAAAATGGAGACATCTCTTCTTGCAGATCTGGAGAGCATTTATCTCTGTATTGTCTCTCTTTCTGTCAGTCATGATCTTCCAATCAATTATGGGTAAATGGTGTTGGCCCTCCTGTAGTAGAAATGAACTCAACATCACTTAGAACAAGCAGAAGGACATCTTTGATTCCAGACAAGGAGAGCATGTGGTGCTCCCTTAGATCTTGCAATCAAGCATCGTTTGAGGATCAATTGTGAGTAATGAGTCCTGACCCTCAACTTGTAAGGCTGGATCTCCCTTTAAAACAAACAGCGGGACATCTGCTACTCGAAAATCTGGGGAGAACATGCCTTTGTCTTGTCGTCTGAGAATCATTACGAGTGATATGCGCTGTCCCTCAATTGGTAGGTATGCACCAGATTTTACTGCAGAATAGGGGGGCGTTTCACAAAACTTGTCATCAGTGACAAATGACAGTTTTGGTTATAAGCTACTGAAATCCTTGCTTCTGATTGGTTATCAACAGAGTTGTCACTGATTTTTGTCTTTTGTCATTGAAAAAAGGCTTTGTGAAACGGGTCCCAGGTTTCCCCTTCTGGTAAGACTACCTTGTGAAGGATTGTCAAAGCAGTTTCACATTGTATAGAATGTGATAGGTTAGTGATGGTTGCCTAGGTGACAAGGAAGCTCATTTATAGTGCATTCCTGCATCTACTGCTGGCAGTCACTTATTAAGGATGTGCTATATAGTCCTCTTTTAGAACAAATAGCAGGATAATTCTTCCAGTTCTGGATAGACAACTCTATCGTGAAGAAGAGTGGTAGAGAATATGCCAGGAATGGTTGCCTTGGTAATCCGAAGCTGATCCGCTAGGTGTATCTCCATTTGGTAGGGATGCACTGAAACCCTTTCCACCAGAGAATTATTCCCAGTTCTAGAATGACTAGTGTTTACGTGGTGGATAATAGTCGGTACAGAAGATACATGAATCAGAGGAGATGCTTAAGACAGTTTCCTAGGTAATCAGAAAGCTGTCCAAAGATGCATGCCACCTTCCGGTAGGGTTGCAAGAAAAATCAAACTCCAACAATCATCAGGACATCATTAATCCCAGTTCTTGAAGAATTACCTTGTTTGTGAGCTTTAAAAATTGGCACAGGGGATAGATAAGACAGAAAATGTGCATGAGACAGTTGGCTAAGTTACTAGAAGCTCATCTCAAACATGCCCCTTGAGTCCAGTACAGTCAACAAGACCCTGGCGAATAGTGATTGAATTTATACCAGATTCTGTGACAACTCCCAACCTTTTCAGTTATATTCATTTGATACCTATGCATTCAATATTATTGAAAAAGCCAGTTGTTCTTGTGAGGTTTAATTACTTCAGACTTAAGTGGATCAGGCATTGCCGTTGATATGTAAATTCATGAACTGTTATATAAATGAAATAAAACTATTTAAAAACTTAATTCCGTTCACTTTGTCATATTTGAATATATTTTTAATTTTTTTTTCTTCTTCAAAATACATGTACACTGCAAATTATGATGACTTGGATGGCACGATACATGCAGGCGCGGATCCAGGATTTCTTGGGGGGGGGGGGGGAGACCCAAATCTGAAATTATGCGAGCTATTACATAATGGTGACCATGCAGCAGTGGCGTAATGAGCAATAACGTTTGGGGAGGGGGGCAGACGAAAAAAAATCAGCATCATCCACTCTTACATGCAGGCCCCACTAAACCTTTTTAAAAGTGGTAGGGCGAGCTTAAAGTATTTACGATCAAGTAGAGCGTGGCCTAAATTGCATAGGGTCTAGGGGCAGAGCCCCCAGAAGCTCAGGGGATATGGGCATTTAATTACGGCCAAATGAGCATATTTTGATAACTTAATCATGCCACTGGCAGGTAACTAATTGGCATGTGGTCAAGGGGGCAGAGATTTGAGGCATTTTATAACGGTCAGATAAGCATTCAGGGGCCGCCTTAGGCCCCCTGTTGGGGTTGAGGCGGAAGAGCCCCCGGAAGCTCAGGGGTTTTAGGCATTTAGTTACGGTCAGATGAGCATATTTTGATAACTTATTAATTTTGGGAGACTGGCAGGACAGTCATTGGCATAGGGTCCAGGGGGCGGAGCCCTCAGAAGCTCAGGGGTTTTAGGCATAAAATTACCCTCAGATGAGCCACTAGGGACAAACCTTGGGGCCCTAGGTGAGGTCCAGGGGGCAGAGCCCCGGACGTTCAGTGGATTTAGGCATTTAATTAAGGTCAGATGAGCATATTTTGATACCTTATTTGTGACACTGGTAGGTCACTAACTGGCGTGAGGTCCAGGGGGTGGAACCCCCAGAAGCTCAGGGGTTTTAGGCAATAAATCACCATCAGATGAGCATCCAGGGGCCCGCCTTAGGGCCCTAGGTTGGAATCAAGGGCGGAAGCTCAGGTTTTTTTTTTACTTTCCCTCTTTCTTTCTATTTCTCTTTAATACATTGGATGTGGGGACATGGCACATTGATTGTGTTTTTATTGCATTTCATATGTGATGACTTGGTACATTGAATGTGGGGACATTGCATAGTGACTGTGTTTCTATTGCATTTGATAGCTGATCACTTGATACATTTGGATGTGGGGATATGACATCTTGAATGTGTATTACATTTGATAGCTGATGACTTGGTACATTGGATGTGGGGATATGGCATATTGAATTTGTTTGTATTGCATTTAAAAGCTAATGACTTGGTACATTGGATGTGTAGACATGACACCTTGAATGTGTATTGTATTTGATATAGCTGATGACTTGGTACATTGGATGTGGGGACATGGCATATTGAATGTGTTTGTATTACATTTAATAGCTGATGACTTGATACATTGGATGTGGGGACATGACATATTGATTGTGTTTGTATTGCAATTCATATGTGATGACTTGGTACATTGAATGTGGGGACATTGCATAGTGACTGTGTTTCTATTGCATTTGATAGCTGATGTCTCGGTAGATTGGATGGGGGGAGTGGCACATTGTGTTTGTATTGCATTTGATAGCTGATGTCTTGGTACTTGGATGTGAGGATATGGCATATTGAATGTGTTTGTATTTAGGTTGATATCTGATGACTCGGTAGATTGGATGTGGAGACATCAGTGGCGGATCCAAGATTTGCTGATAGGGGGGGGGGGGGGCGGGGGGGGGGGCCCTAAAATTTGAAAAACGCGCCGACCAAAATTCCGAATAGAATGTGGGATCATGTCTGTTGGTATGTGTCTATCCCTATCTCCCCACATCTAATGTGATTGATGCGTCAATTTTTTAAATCACTTGGCTGCCGGCCTATTTTAAGACTGAGAAGGAAAAAAAAATAAAGTGGATAAAAAGAGCATTAATATATTGTCTATTGCTGTCAAGCTCTCTCTCATTAATCCTCTCTCAGCCCCCCCCCCCCCCACGGCCCCCGCCCCCCATTAGTACCTTTATTCCATTCAGGTACAAGTGTTCAAAAGAGATTCTTAGCATCGCCACTGTGCTTTTGGTAAATAATCGCCGTTTTCTACCGACCTAAAGATAGTTCACGCCGATAACGCTAGGGTGAACTTCTTTACTCCAGGCGGTGATCATCTCACATTATGCTCAATGTCTACAGCCATGTTAGAGAATGATATGCTTCTTTATTCTTGTAATGTTAAGAACAACCATATGAATATGAAAAGGTGGTTCAAAGGTTAAAGGCCAAAGGTCACTGTACATTGAAATCACAGATTAGTTCATGCATGAAATGGAGTGAATAGAATTTTGGGGGTGATGTGAACAAAATCTGGAAACGTGTGTGGTGAGAGTATTTTCCCAAGGAATGATGCAGACCATATTCATTTTTTTAAAATTTATAATGAATGAAAGAAATTACAACAAAATATGGATCATTCTTGCACGGAAAGTTATATCAAAAATACTTTCTCAATTTTTATTTATGTTCACCCCATTTTTTGTATTTACCATGTGTTGCAGTACTTTGGTTAACATAATTTTTAATGAATCATTTAATTTAACAGTAAACAGAATTTGAGCCTTGTATGCATTATCGTAAGGAGATGAAATTGGATTTTTGGTCAAAGATCTCGAATTACCACAAAACTGATGGTTATCATGATAGAGCGTTTAATCTGATTTTGTTTTCTTAAATTAATGTCCGAGATTACAAAGTGAAGCACTTTCGCAAACATGACGGAATGTAAAGACAACGGTAACGCGAGCGAAACAAATTAATCTGCGCATGCGCGAACCAGAATTTTCTACGTCTTGTTGATTTTCATGACCGTTCTCGGCCATAATAGCGTTCGTTCCCTAAACATGACGGAACAGCTGTATCACCGTGCAATCATGATATAGATATCGTATGATATGGAAGTAAGAAACCATACATAAATTGTGCTTCGATCCAATTTATTGACATTGATATAAACTAATCTGATAATAATTACATTTTACATGAGTAATGATGCAAATGTGACATCAAGTTTTTCGGTAATGAATTGATTGTAGATTTAAAATTCTAATGAAGTGTACCAAATACTTCTTTCTTATCTTAGTACACGCTAATATATGTTTTCCCCATTAAACGTCGAGCAAATGTGTCGATCAGAATATATACACACATACATTGAAGAAAAAAATGAATTGGAAAGGATTTTTCAAAGACCTGCTCATATTGGGCAACCTCTAGATGATTATTGACCTTGCCAAAGTACTCAGGTGGGTCAAGGTTCACAAGGTCATCGGGTTCCGTAAGAGGTGACCTGACCATTTGCTACAGGATTTATTTTGCCAAAGATTTTATTTTGCCAAAGATTTAGGGTTAGCGTAACTGTTACAAATGGGATTCACTGGAGCATGTATCATACAGCCACCATAAGAAATATCACCTGAATGATATAACCAGTTAAAGAAATAAAAGCATTTGCTTATCATCTATTAAGAAATTAAGATATTAAGAAATTAAGAATGATATTTAACTATAACACATTTATTCTACACATTAACAAATACTAAACGGCTCATCTATTGTTGAAATATACACAGTATTAATATTTTTTTTAGAACTAATTACACTGTCGCTCATATAGGTGGAATAATTTGGTTTTACCCCAATTTATGGAATTATTTTAAAAATAATTAAAAAAATAATAGATCTAGATAAAAGTATACATTCTCAGATTTTATTGAATGATAATTTGCAAATGTGTGATTTGTTTATGTTGGGGACCGGGGTAAAATGCACTAAATTATTGAAAATTTATTGCATTTTCTGTGTTTTTTTTAATTACGGAAACTGCCCCCTACCCTAGCCCCCGCCGCGTACAGTCATGGTTCAGTGACAAAGCAAGGGCCTCGTAACTGTGAGGCCCCGGGATCAAAACCGTGTCGATGTGCTATTTAAGTGCCCTTTTATGGGGCATTAATCCTCATTACTGTCATTTATGACTTAAGGGCGTAGGTCCCCTATTTGATAAGCATAGTAGCATACACATGCTTTAGCAGTCACGCAAAACACACATTTGCAAATTATCATTCAATAAAATCTGAGAATGTATACTATTATCTAGATCTATTATTTTAAAATTATTTTTAAAATAATTCCATAAATTCGGGTAAAACCAAAATATTCCACCTATAGGAGCGACAGTGTATTCCTTAATTGCAACCAAAACATGTGGTACAATTTCAAATACAAATAAAATCACAATAATATAAATAACAATAGTAGAAATAATGTACAAAAGTTTTTACAAAACCTGTATAATTTGATACATAAATATACAAACAACAAAGTGCTACAATAATTTCATGACACATTATCACATAAATTAATGTTAGCTCATGAGTTCTACATTTCATAATAATTGAATATAAAATCTGAAGTAATTAAGTTAGTTTTGTCTATAAATTGAGTAATTTATAATAAAATTGATAATGATAATGGATAGAAAAGAAATCACAGGTCACCAACATAACATAGATTCAGAATGGAGTTGTGAATGATAGTACGGCGTTTCAACTGTTGAGAGACAGAAGGGCATTAACTCATATTCATTACACAGACCCAACATCATCCATCCTCTCAACAGACGATATGTCATATCAAGCGTATTGAAATCAAATTGAAAAATAAAACAAAGTGAGCCTAGACTAAGGAGTCAGTCAAACTTTAAGTTGGACTTGAGAATTATGGAGAGCCATTTGTAGCCTTAAAATAAAATATATTCAAAATCAAAAATTCAACTTTTATAGACTTTTCATAAACTCCACATCAAGAACATGAAATCTCCCATGATAATAGAAAATATGAATTAATTGAATCAACATTTTATGCCTTTTAAAATTACTTTTACAAAATATTTTCAAAGTTGCTAACGACTTTTCATAATTGTTAAGTCCAACTTAGAGATATGTTCAACTTAAGAATTTTGTGAAACACCACCTGGTATACAAGTAATAGTACTTAAAGGAAGTGAAAACTTTAGGAAATATCTAATTGCAGCAATCTACATATACATTCTTTACTTTCCATAATGTAGTCTAGAAATGCACTGTATTACATTTCCACTACCTAGTACAGTTGTAGGCATTATTATGACAAATTTAAACATACTTGGTAAGACATTGATGCTACAAAATTTAAAAAACAACTCTTATATCGTTAAAATATGTATATATTTACAATTTTCATCTACATTCTGTGTATCACTATTATGCCTCCTTTATTACATGTAGTAGTTGTAAAATTAAAAATACATGTATTTAGTAACGCATTCATTCTCCAAATTCAAAAAGGTTATCAAAAATCTCTTCAGTTGTTAAAACATTAATAATTCATGATTCATAGTTTATTTCACATCCCGAAAAGGACAGAAATGTAAATTTGACAAGATACAGAGAATGAATAATATATGTACAGTGAACAACTAAATTATTCATATGCTTTAATTGCTGTGATTTTTCAAGTGTGAGGAAATTAATTTGGCCCAAATTATGTTACTTGATAATCTGATTTATCAAGCTTATATCTAAAAGTATCCTCAAATGCCCTAATTTAACCAGTCCACTTTCATTCTTGAGTTACAAAAACAAAAACAAAAAACATTAAATTTACAAGGGGTATGGATTAATTTAACTGTTAACTGTACATTAAAGGCTTAACAAACAACAAAATATGTACAGTTACAAATTGCAGCAGCTTTAATTTACATTTTTACAGCTTTAATTTACATTAATTTACATTTTTTCACTATCCATATGACATGTATATATAGCTGTCAATCATCCCTCTTTTCCAGTGCTTGTTTTTCAAAAAACTCTCTATGTAGTTTTTAAAAAATAAATATAGAAAAGGTCTTTATAAAAACATACTAAATACACTTAATTCCTACTATGACTATAGGTGCTGGGAATTATAAGAAAGTAGACATAGTTAATGCCAGCCGTTTAATAAAAATGGGCAGCAGAAAAGAAGGAAAAAAAGTCACATTGCAAGTGCAACTTTCCTTGTTATCTGGTCTGATCCAAGCTGTAGTAGGGGTATCACCTTGATAGAATCATCTGATGTAATGCAAATGTTGATGTTGTGGGTGACGTAAGGGACAAAATACCTTGGACTTCAATACACATAAAGGACAAGGGAACTGCGAATGTTGATTTTAATAGAGGCACATATTTTGATTGTTACATACGGGTATGTAGTTCTCAGCCCTTTGCCGGTAAGCAAATTTGCCGATATTGTTTTGGAGGTTTTTAATGTTTGTTGGATGACAATTAGTTTGCCTTGTTGTGAATGGTAATGGTTGGGTTAAACAGGAATAACACTATTGATCACCCTGTTGGCTCTCATGCTCTTTGCAAACTGAGCCCAGAAGAGTTCCTGGCCATCTTCATCCTCTGTCCACAGCATGTAGGGTTTGTTCTTACTCATGAACAACCGGACCAGGTACGGGAGATCATCATCCTGGATGTCCTCAAGGAAAATCAGTATTACCTTGTCCAATCTGGTGTCATTGAGGTGCTCTAGGGCTATGCGTAGCTTGGTCAGAAACCAGGCTTCATCCACAGAGTTGTTGCTTATTAAGAGGACAGTCTTGAAGCTGTTCTCAACGACGTAGTGGAGAGCTGGGATGTAGTACATCTCGATGTTGAGGTTGTTATCGCCGAAGGCCACTTTCTGGAGATGTGGAAACCTCTCCTGCAGGACTGGCTTGATGATCTGGTCCACCCATTCCTGGTCATCCTCATCGTACATCAGGTTGAGCTGGTACTCGTAGTCCTGGGCATCAAAGTCTTGGTTGATTTCCTCGTAGCCAAAGATGGCTAGTTTTAGGAGGAAGAGCTTGTAGTTGAGCCACCAACGTTTTCGATATGCCACCAAGCACAGGATGGCCACCAGAACAACGGAGAAGGACACACCTGTGATGATGAGAATATTAATGCCACAGTATTGATCAGGATGGAATGAAAGGATTGGCGATTGCACCATGTCTTTGATGGAAGAGAGTGAGCAAAGTGTGTCGTCAGGATGGATGAGCTCGACATTGCCTGAACGTAGCCACTCAACAAACCAACTCAAGTCGCATGTACAGGAGAAAGGGTTTCCTGATGCGTCTATTCTTGTTGTCCTGTTTGTAGGAAATATTGTTCCAGGTTCTATTGTGGTGATTCTGTTGCGCTGCATGAACAGGTGGTGCAGAGATTGGGATCTATTGAATAGAGTCTTTGGAATCGAATCAAGTCTGTTATTGGTTATGTAGAAGACCACAAGCCTGGACTGACTTTGAAATAAGTCTCCAGGAAGTGCTGAGATCTCATTGTCACGAAGATCCAATTTTGTGAGAGAAGTCAAACTGTGAAAAACACTGGGAATTAGGACTTTGATAGAAGAATGAGAGAGGAGCAGTATTTCAAGTCTCTTCAGAGGGTTGAAAGTTCCTGGTGCTAACATATCTAGATAATTCCCGCTTAAGTCCAGCCTTACCAACGATCTAAGTCCCAAAAAGAGTGATTTAGAGGTCATATTATTAAATAAATCTGTGCTCGTCAATCGGTTTTCACGCATAACCAGTTTCACAAGAGATGTAGTATTTGTAAATTGGGGTTTTGAATTAATTGTCATCTCTGCAAATGATAAATCTAATATGCAAAGAGTATCCAGGTAACGGAAAGCTCCATTGATGTCTTCGTGAAGTTCACTGGTGAGGTATAACTCTTTGAGGTTCTTCAGTTTCATGAAGGCATTTTGAGAATAGGTATCTTGTATTTCATTGTGAGACATGTTTAGTATTTTGAGATTAGGGAAACCCCATAGAAGATACTTCTTGATCTCTGTGATTCTGTTGAAAGAAAGATCCAGATATTCTAGGAAAGGAAATGTTATGGTGGTGCTTTTCTCAATGTCAATGATATTGTTACGAGCTAGGTCTAGGTGGTTTAGAGAGGACAGATTAGATAATATACCAATGGACAAGCTTGCAATTTTATTTCCAACAAGCATCACTCGCTGTAACATTTTATTGCAGGAGAACATGTCTAAGGGTAAGAATAGTAAGCGATTATAGGATAGATCTAATTCAACCAGCTGGTCTAATCCACAAAAAGTCCAGTTTTGTAAAACATTTATGCGATTGTATTGAAGTAATAAAATACTTGTCTGATTCAAACCCCAAAACACAAAATCTTGGAAGGAGCTCAGCATGTTAAATTGGAGATCTATGACATTTATCTTGGGAGAACCGTCCAGATTGCTATGAGTTTGGTTCAGTGGAATTATCTGATGTATTTTGCATGCTACCAAAACCAGTGAATCAATTTCATTGTTTGCTAGAATAGAAGAGATATGAAATTCCTGAAAAGTATTCTTTGAAAGAGTCAACTTGTTGACTTTATTCAAAGCTGAGAAAGCATTCGATGGAAGATTTGTTAATGCATTGTTGCTGAGATATAGTCGTATCGATGGACAGTTTTGAAGGGGTGTGAAGTCTGAGGGTTTTATGAAGGAGATGTTATTGTTGGTCAGATCAAACAAATTGATATTATCAGACAACGGCAAAGCATTTGTCGGAATAGAACTCAACTTGTTTCTTCCAAGAAGGAGCACCGAAAGAAGTCTATTTGAACTAAGTAAACCTGCTGGAAGAGACATTAGGCGGTTTCTCTCTAGGATTAATTGTTTGAGATTACCCAAATGCCCAAAGGCACCTTCTTCTATCACCGAGAGTTGATTTCTTCGGAGTGCAAGTGTGATGATGTCTGGAAGATAGGTGAAAGACTCGTCGTAAAGGGTTGTAATCAGGTTGATGGAGAGATCAAGAAGTGTTGTGTTGCTTGGAAGATCTTGAGGAACAGACCGAAGACCCAGGCGAGTACAGATAGCTCTGGTACCGAGGCTGGTAGTCGTGAGCTGGCAGCCACTGGGGGAGACAGAGCTCCAATTTCCGTCCTTGCCCGCTATGTCGTTCCCAGGCAATGCTCCAGATAGCAAGGATAAAACACATGCAATCCACCAGTAGAGAGGAATCCTTGAGATCGTGCAAGTCATCCTTGATTTGAACATATTGATCTCTTGGGTGTCACTACTGCAGAAGAAATTCCCTTGGAGATGTTTAAATTCAACTAACCAAAATATCTCTTCTGCTCCTTTCACAACAGTGAAATATTCCTGTCAATGTTTAACCTGATAGCCAGTATGTTTCTGTGAATGAGTGATTTGCACAAGATTATATACCGTAGAAAGACTGTAATATCTTTGGGGCCCCTACTGCAGATGACGTACCCTTCAAGATTTTGAATATCTCACTTTCTTGAAATGAGAATATTCATCTCCCAGATTGTCTAGTATTCAGATAGTGATGACTGAACCAAATCAAGCCAAAATGAGAATGTAAATATATCAAAAAAGTCGTAAGGGCTATATCTGACCTCGTTTCCTGTTTCACTTCATTTCATCCACTTGAAATTAATTTTTCTACCTCTTGAAATACAAGATGATTGTGGTCTCTGTTGGAGGAAGTGTTGATATAAACATCTATTTTTAGTTTTGTTAACAAAAAAGGAATATGTAATAAAGGCTGCCCCATGATATTTCACTTTTGTAATCCAAAATGCTTAAGCCATTAACAACTGCAGTTAACATTTATCAGAAGCAAATTCATGTGCTAGGAGAAACTGCTGAATTTACATGATTTACTCAAGTCAGGAATCGCATCAAATTTGGGAATTCCCGTAGAAAGCTGTTTTTGTTTTATACATAGTGGCAGAATGAAGCTCATTAATGGTGTTCACAGTGATAGCTTTGCAGCAATTTTGTTTCACTGAAATTAATTATCCTACCTCTTAAGATACAAAATGATTGTGGTCTATGTTAGAGAAAGTGTACTTATAAATATTTATTTTCACTTTTATTAGCCGTAGAGGAATATGTAATAATGGCTGCCATTAACAACTGCAATTAACATTATCCACTAATATTCATGTGCTAGGAGAAGCTGCTGAATTTACATGACATATTCAAGTCAGGAATCACATAAATTTTGGGAATTCCCGTAGTTAACAAGAATTTAATTGTACAGCTGTTTTGGGTTGATACAGAGTGGCAGAATGAGTAACAAGTTATGCATTTTTTTTGATACTTTGTCTCCAAAAGTTGAATCATATAGCGTAAATTAATTTTGTTTAATGCAGATATTGTAGAGTAAAAATATTTGTATTTAACTCAGAATTCAGCTTCATTATACTTACTCTCCATTGATATCCTGAAATTAGATTGATTAATCTTAGGTTGACCTACAACGATAAGGCACTAAAGCATACACCACATTTCTTTCTACGGGTACTCATGTACCTCACCTGGGTTTAGAGTGATTAATCTGTCAAAACCGTGATGGTGCCATAACTACCGCATTGTTGAACTACACCGGCTTCAAAATTACTGACCGAATTCAATATCGGATACTTGTTCAAACTTTTAAAGCTATCTCAACCCCTTTTCCTCCCTCTTTTAGCAGCAGAGAACATCATATTAACTGCGATCTACAATGGCTCCTTCCCTTCTCATTCCCAAATCCTGAAAACAGGCTGGCTTCAATTCTTTTCAATCCATTGCCACATGCCTATGAAATAAACTCCCTGCAATTCTAAGAAATAGTACTTCCCCTTGACTTTCTTAAAAAAACATCCTTTCCTTTCAAATCATACCTCTACAATTCTCCTTAATATATTGATTGACTATTAAAGGCACAATGCCTTGTATCCTCTGGAAAAGGCGCTATCATTATGATTATCATTATTAAAAATATTATTATTATCATCATCTTTGTTATCATCATCTTTATCATAATCATTATTATAATTATTACTGGTTAATTAATTAATTATTGTTTTTCTCATTGGACAGTGGGTAGAGACTGGTTTCTCAACTCAATGGTGCTTTGAGAACTTCATCCAGCATCGATCGATGAGACGGGCGCGGGATGTTCGTGATCAGCTCCAGGGACTCATGGAGAGAGTTGAGATGGAGATTGTGAGCTGTGGTATGGATAGTGTTGTTATTAGAAAGGTAGGATAAAGAGACGTTCTTATATCAATAGTTGTAATTTGTCCCCCCCCCCTCCCCTCCAAGGAAAATTAGAAGATGCAATGAAACGTACTAGTCTGATTTATTGTGACAATGCAGATGGTGATGATAATGGTGATAATAATGTGTATGATGAAGATGCTTTGATGATGATGATGAGGAGGAGGATTATGATGATGATGGTGGTGATGTTAAAGGTGCTGGTGGTAATGATAGTAATATTGATCATGAAAGTGATGATGACGATGATAATGATGAAGATGCACTATGAATATGACGGACAAAGAAAGAGGACAAAATATACAGTTCCTCATTCTACCCTCAACAATTGCTGTGGTAGACAAAGGAACATCCCTTCACTGCTATTATGTAAAAATGTGTAGAACATGCACATGCACATGCATGTCACATGCATATTCACATGTTCTACACATATTTACATGTCCGTCATGTTCATAGTGATAGTAATGGTGGTAATGATGATAACATTCCTATTGAATGCAATAGTAATAATTATCTTCCCTATCTTTGAACGAATATTCCAGGCTGTAACCGCTGGTTTCTTCTACCATACTGCACGCTTCAGTAAGGGAGGTAACTACAAGACAGTCAAGCACCAACAGACAGTCATGGTTCATCCCAATAGCGGTCTGTTTGAAGAACAACCAAGATGGCTCATCTATCATGAACTTGTCTTTACAACCAAGGAGTTCATGAGACAGGTATAACAATTTTAATTATTATTTTGTTCTTCTATTTTCATTCCTGCTGTGCCTCCTCAGTCCTGAAGGTTTCTGGGTGAACAAAAAAGGAATGTGGAATTCTTATCCTTGGGCCTTTCCCAAGACTATTGGAAATTCAGTAGAGGTGCCAAGAACATAAAGTAACATGTATGTTAATAAAATGATTAAGTCTGAAATATGCATTAAGTACAATAGAAATTTGCAAAAGACAAAGTATTTACTAGAGATGAATTAAGATGGTTGCGCTTTTTGCAGGAGCACCTGATCTTGTATATGTTGATGGAAACATAACTGAATTAAACATTTAATTCCTTTAGTCAGCATCCTTTAGTCAGCATCTATATAACATACATTTTCTAATCCTACCCTCATTTTCCACGATGTAGGTGATAGAGATAGAGAACGGTTGGTTGCTAGAGGCTGCTCCACACTACTACAAGGCCAAGGAACTGGAGGATGCATCAAGCAAGAAGATGCCTAAGGGTGTCGGCAAGTCAGCCGGTAGCTGATCGGAGTTACAGAAGACTGGTATCATTGGAGGACTAGATATGGGGATGAGTGCCGGCCATCATCTGGTATCGTTGAGATGGGACTCACTTAGAACAAACTAAAGGACAGACTTATTCCAGTTATGTGCCTTTCTCTTGTCACTCTTTGAGTCAAGGATCATCTAAGGATCAATTGTGTATGTATGGGGGTACCTGCCATCACCCATTTCAGATCCGCTAGACCCCACTTAGATTAAGCAAAAAGATATCTCCTATTCCAGATATAGCGAGTATACATCTTTGTATGGTCTCTTTCTGTCAAGCGTCTTTTGAAAATCAATTTTTGATTGATGAGTGCCGAGCATCACACAATTCGGATTCATTAGACCTCACTGAAAACAAAGACATCTCTTATTGCAGATCTGGAGAGAATTTATCTGTATTGTCTCTTACTGTCAGTCATGATCTTCAATTATGAGTAAATGTTGTTGGCCATCCTGTGGTAGAAATGAGCTAAACATCACTTAGAACAAGCAAAAGAACATCTTTGATTCCAGATAAGGAGAGAATGTGGCACTTCCTTAGCTTGCAATCAAGCATCGTTTGATGATCAATTGTGAGTAATGAGTGCTGGCCCTCAACTTGTAAAGCTGGACCTTCCTTTAGAACAAAAAGTGGGACAAAATCTAGAGAGAAATACACCTTTGTCTCGTCATCTGAGGATCATTACGAGCGATGTGTGCTGTCCCTCAATTGGTAAGAATACCTTTGTGAAGGACTGTCAAAGCAGTTTCACATTGTATCGAAGGTGATAGGCTAGTGATGGTTGCCTAGGTGACAGGAAGCTCATTTAAGGTGCATTCCTGCATCTACTGCTGGCCGTCACTTATCCAAGATGTATTAGTTCTTTTTATGCCTCCGCCACCATCATGTTTTCGGGTTGTCCGTCCGTACGTCCGTCCGTACGTCCGTCCCGTTTGACCGTTATCACAATATCTCAAGAACCATTTAAGATTTAAACTTAAGACTCGGGAATAGTATTTATCACCATAGGAAGACGATCTGATTAGATTTTGGAGTACGTAGGTCAAAGGTCACAGGTCACAGAGGTCAACTTATGAAATTCCTTGTATTGAGTTTGTTAGCGCGATATCTCAAGAACCATTTGAGATTTAAACTTCAAACTTAAGGATAGTATGTATCACCATAGGAAGACGATCTGATTAGATTTTGGAGCACGTATGTCAAAGGTCAAGGGTCACAGAGGTCAACTTATGAAATTCCATACATTGAGATTGTTATCATGATATCTCAAGAACCACTGGAGATTTAAACTTCAAACTTAGTGATAGTGTGTATCACTATAGGAAAACAATCTGATTACATTTTGGAGCACGTAGGTCAAAGGTCAAGGGTCATAGAGGTCAACTTATGAAATTCCATACATTGAGATTGTTATCATGATATCTCAAGAACCACTGGAGATGTAAAAACTTCAAACTTAAGGATAGTATGTATCACCATAGGAAGACGATCTGATTAGATTTTGGAGCACGTAGGTCAAAGGTCAAGGGTCACAGAGGTCAACTTATGAAATTCCATACATTGAGATTGTTATCGCGATATCTCAAGAACCACTGGAGAATTTTCACTTCAAACTTAATGATAGTATGTATCACCATATCATAATATCTCAAGAACCACTGGAGATTTAAACTTCAAACTTAATGATAGTGTGTATCACCATAGTAAGACAATCTGAATAAATAACAGGATAGTTTTTCCAGTTCTGGACCGACAACTCTACCGTGATGAAGAGTGGTAGGGAACATGCCTTGGTAATCCGAAGCTGATCTAACCTTTTCCACCAGGGAATTATTCCCAGTTCTAGAATGACTAGTGTCTACGTGATGGATAACAGTCGGTATAGAAGATACATGTGTCAGAGAAGATGCTTGGGACAGTCTCCAAGGTAACTAGAGGCTGTCCAAAGATGCCTGTCACCTTTTGGTAAGGTTGCAAGAAAACTCAAACTCCAACAAACATCAGGACATCATTAATCCCAGTTCTTGAAGAATTACCTTGTATGTAAGCTTTAAAAATTGGCACGGAGGATAGATATGACGGAAAATATGCATAAGACAGTTGGCTCGGTTACTAGAAGCTCATCTCAAACGTGCCCCTTGAGTCCAGTACAGTCAACAAGACCCTGGCGAATAGTGATTGAATTTATACCAGATTCTGTGACAACTCCCAACCTTTTCAGTTATATTCATTTGATACCTGTGCATTCAATATTATTGAAAAAGCCAGTTGGTCTTGTAAGGTTTAATTACTTCAGACTTAAGTGGACCAGGCATTGCAATTCATATGTAAATTCATGTACCGTTATATAAATGAAATAAAACTATTTAAAACTATATTCTATTCATTTTGTCATATTTGAATATATTTTTCTAATTTTTATTTTTTTCTTCAAAATACATGTACACTGCAAATTATGATGACTTGAATGGCACAATACATGCAGGCGCAGATTCAGGATTTCTTAGGGGGGGGGGGGCCCAAATTTGAAATTATGCGAGCCGAATATTGGTACCTAATGGTGACCAGCAGTGGTGTAATGAGCAAAAACGTTTTGGGAGGGGGGCAGACCAAACAAATCTTCATCACCCCACTCTTACATGCAGGCCCCGCTGAACGTTTTTCAGGCATTTAATTATGGTCAGATGAGCAAATTTTGATACCTTATTTGTGACACGTACTGGCAGGTCACCAATTGGTGTGGGGTCTAGCTGGCAGAGCCCCTGTAAGCTAAGGGGTTTTAGGCAATAAATTACCGTCAGATGAGCATCCCGCCCCCCCCCCCTTAGGGCCCTAGGTATTTAATCACGGTCAGATGAGCATATTTTGATACCTCATTATTTTGTGACACTGGCAGGTCTTTCTTACTTTCCCTCTTTCTTTCTATTTGTCTTTAATACATTGGATGTGGGGACATGTCACATTGATTGTGTTTGTATTGCATTTGATAGCTCATGACTATGAACATTGGATGTGGGGGCATTGCACATTGATTGTGTTTGTATTTGAATTTAATAGCTGATAATTTGATACATTGGATGTGTTTTTATTGCATTTCATATGTGATGACTTGGTACATTGAATGTGGGGACATGGCATATTGAATATCTTTGTATTGCATTTGATAGCTGATGACTTTGTAGATTGGATGTGGGACATGGCACATCAATGTGTTTTTATTGCATGTGATAGCTGATGACGTGATACATTGGATGTGGGGACGTGATATCTTGAATGTGTATTGTATTTGATAGCTGATGACTTGGTATATGTGATGTGGGGACATTGCATAGTGACTGTGTTTCTATTGCATTTGATACATTGGATGCGGAGACATGGCATATTGAATCTGTTTGTATAATTGCATTTAATAGCTGATGACTTGATACATTGGATGTGGGGACATGACTTCTTGAATGTGTATTGTATTTGATACAGCTGATGACTTGATGCATTGGATGTGGTGACATGGCATATTGAATGTATTTGTATTGCATTTAATAGCTGATGACTTGCTACATTGGATGTGGGGACATGGCACATTGATTGTGTTTTGATTGCATTTCATATGTGATGAGTTGGTACATTGAATGTGGGGACATGGCATATTGAATGTCTTTGTGTTGCTTTTGATAGCTGATGACTTGATACATTGTGATGTGGGGACATGGCATATTGAATGTGTTTGTATTTAATTTGATAGCTGATGTCTTGGTAAATTGGATATGGGGACATGGCACAGTGATCGTGTTTGTATTGCATCCGATAGGTAGTGACTTGGTAGATTGAATGTGGGGACACGACTATGTATTTAATTGCTGACGACTTGGTACATTGGATGTGGGGGGAACTGTGGGTACATCAATAGTGATTTTGCGAATAGAATGTGGAGTCATTTCTTTTGATATTTGTGTATCCCTATATCCCCATATCCAATGTGATGCGTCTATTTTTTTTATTTATTGCATTTTCCCATTACAATTTTTTTTTAAATAACACTCTTAATATAGCTTTTACATTTTTTTCGATACAAATAGTATTAGTTTAAAATTATGCTAGTTGGTGATATCTCACTTCCCTGTATAAAATCCAAATTCCCACTTTGGAGGTTGTGTATGTACGTGTGTGTGTGTATGTGTGTTCGTGTAGAGAGGGGGTATGTACTTGGGGTGGTTGTACTCCCTCCTCCTCCCCCAATCCACCACTGGACATGAGTGTGTGTGTAAGTGGAGGAGAAGCGTGTTAATGGTGTAACCACTGATGATGCCTGGAACTTAAAAGGTCCAGGTAAAAAACACTTCTAATTAGGATTTTGAAGCACTTTATCACTTCATTGGCTGCCGGCCTAGCTACTTATTTTTAGACTGAGAAGAAAGAAAAAGAAAGTGGATGAAAAGAGCATTCATATTTTGTCTATTTTTGTCAAGCTCTCTCTCTCCTTAATTGTTTCTCAGCCCCCCCCCCCCTACCCGGCCCGCCGTTAATACATGTAATTTATTCAGGTACAAGTGTTCCGAAGAGATACTTAGCATCGCCACTGTGCTGTTGGTCAACGATTGCCGTCTTCTACCGACCTAAAGACAAGATAGTCCACGCCGACAACGCTAGGGTGAACTTCTTCACTCCAGGCGGTGATCATCTCACATTATGCTCAATGTCTACAACCAGGTTAGAGAATGATATGCTTCTCTATTCTTACAACCATATGAATATGAAAAGGTGGTTCAAAGGTTAAAGGCCAAGGGTCACTGTACATTGAAATCACAGATTAGTCCATAAAATGGAGTGAATAGAATTTTTGGGGTGATTGTAAACGAAATCTGAAAATGTGTGTGGTGAGAGTGTTTTCCCAAGGAATGATGCAGACCATATTCATTTTTTAAAAAAATTTATAACGCATAGTGAAAGAAATTACAAAAAAATCTGGATCATTCTTGCACGGAAAATTATATCAAAAATATTTTCTCAATTTTTATTTATGTTCACCCCATTTTTTGTATGTACCATGTGTTGCAGTACTTTGGTTAACATAATTTTTAATGAATCATTTAATTAAACAGTAAACAGAATTTGAGCTTTGTATGCATCATCGTAACGAGATGAAATTGGAATTTTGGTCAAAGACCTCAATTTACCACAAAACTGATGGTTATCATGATAGAGCCTTTAATCTGATTTTGTTTTCTTAAATTAATGTCCCAGATTACAAAGTGAAGCACTTTCGCAAACACTACGGAAGGCAAAGACAACTGTAACGCGAGCGAAAAATCAATCTGCGCATGCGCGAACCAGAATTTTCTACGTCTTGTTGATTTTCATGACCGTTCTCGGCCATAATAGCTTTCGTTCTCTAAACACGACGGAAGAGCTCTATCACCGTGCAATCATGATATAGATATTGTATGATATGGAAGTAAGGAACCATACACAAATTGTGCTTCGATCCAATTTATTGATATTGATATAAACCAATCCGATAATAATTACATTTTACACGAGTAATGATGCAAATGTAACATCAAGTTTTTCAGGAATGTATTGATTATAGATTTAAAATTCTAATGAAGTGTACCAAATAGTACTTTCTTATCTTATTACACGCTTATATGTTATCCTCATTAAACGTGGAGCAAATGAGTCGATCAGAATATATACACACATACATTGAAAAAATGAGTTGGAAAGGATTTGTTAAAGACCTGCTCATATTGGTCAACCTCTAGATGATTATTGACCTTGCCAAAGTACTCAAGTGGGTCAAGATTCAGATGCCGTGAGAGGTGACCTGAACATTTGCTACAGGATTTATTTCGCCAAAGATTTAGGGTTAGCGTAACTGTTACAAATGGGATTCACTGGAGCATACAGCCACCATAAGAAATATCAACTGAGTGAAAAAACCAGTAAAATCGATAAAGGCATTTGCTAATCATCTATAGAAATTAAGAATGATATTTAATTATAACACATTCATTCTACATATTCAAAAATACTTAGACAGCTCTTCCTTTGTTAAGATTTGCACAATAATAATTTTTTCAAAGAATTAATTATTCCTTAATTGCAACCAAAACTTGGGGTACAATTTCAAATACAAATAAAATCACAAACAGAGTGTTAACAATGGTAGAAATAATGTACAAAAAGTTTTAAAAAAAATAGAATCTGATACATAAATATACAAACAACAATGTGCTACAATCTTTTAATGTTAGCTCATAAGTACAACATTTCATAATAATTGTATTTAACATCTGAAGTAATTAGGTTAGGTTTGTCTATAAATTGAGTAATTTATGATAAAATTGATAATGATAATTGATAGAAAAGAAAACACAGGTCACCAACATTACATAGATTCAGAATGGAGTTGTGAATGATAGTACGGTGTATCGACTGTTGAGAGACAGAAGGGCGTTAATTCATATTCATTACACAGACCCAACATCCTCTCAGCTTTCAACAGACGATATGTCATATCAAGCGTATTGAAATCAATTAACAAAATTAACAAACTGAGCCTAGAGTATAGGGTATGAATTTGGATCTGGACCCCGTTGCACAAAAACTTACCATTGACGGTAACTGTGACATCAATGGTAACTACCATGAAAACCTTGATTTTGATTGGCTGTTAAGCCCTGTTAGCATGGTAGTTGCCATTGAAGGCTAAGTAACCATCGATGGTAAGTTTTATGCAACGAAGCCCAGGTATACATTCAGATATAGGTATACAAGTAATAGTACTTAAAGGAAGTGAAAACTTTAGGAAATATCTAATTGCAGCAATCTACATATACATTCTTTACTTTCCATAATGTAGTCTAGAAATGCAATGTATTACATTTCCACTACCTAGTACAGTTGTAGGCATTATTATGACCAATTTAAACATACTTGGTAAGACACTGATGCTACAAAATTAAAAAAACAACTCTTATATCGTTAAAATATGTATATATTTACAATTTTCATCTACATTCTGTGTATCACTATTATGCCTCCTTTATTACATGTAGTAGTTGTAAAATTAAAAATACATGTATTTAGTAACGCATTTATTCTCCAAATTCAAAAAGGTTATCAAAAATCTCTTCAGTTGTTAAAACATTCATAATTCATGATTCATAGTTTATTTCACATCCCGAAAAAGGAGAGAAATGTAAATTTGACAAGATACAGAGAATGAATAATATATGTACAGTGAACAACTAAATTATTCATATGCTTTAATTGCTGTGATTTTTCAAGTGTGTGAAAATTGATTTGGCCCAAATTATGTTACTTGATAATCTGATTTACCAAAGCTTGTATCTAAAAGTATCCTCAAATGCCCTAATTCAACCAGTCCATCTTTCATTCTTAAGTTACAAAAACTAAAACAAAAAACATTAAATTTACAAGGGGTATGGATTAATTTAACTGTTAACTGTACATTAAAGCCTTAACAAACAAACAAAATATGTACAGTTACAAATTGCAGCAGCTTTGATTTACATTAATTTACATTTTTCACTATCCATATAACATTTTAAATATGTACATTTAACATGTATAGCTGTCAATCATTCCTCTTTTCCAGGGCTTGTACCTATTTTTTTTTTTTTAACTTTCTCTGTAGTTTAAAAAAAAATATATAGAAAAAGTCTTTATAAAAGCATACTAAATACACTTAATTCCTACTATGACTATAGGTGCTGGGAATCACAAGAAAGTAGACATTATTGATGCCAGCCGTTTGATAAAAATGGGCAGCAGCAAAGCAATAAACAAAAAAGTCACATCGCAAGTGCAATTTTCCTTCTTTTTTGGTCTGATCCAAGCTGAAGTAGGGGGAATCACCTTGATAGAATCATCTGATGTACTGCAAATGTTGATGTTATGGGTTACGTAAGGGACAAAATACCTTGGACTTCAATACACTTAAAGGACAAGGGAATTAACTGCGAATGTCGATTTTAAGATAGGCACATATTTTGATTGTTACATACCGGTATGTTGTTCTCAGCCCTTTGCCGGTAAGCAAATTTGCCGATATTGTTTTGGAGGTTCATAATGTTTGTTGGTTGACAATTAGTTTGCCTTGTTGTGAATGGTAACGGTCGGGTCAAACAGGAATAACACTATTGATCACCCTGTTGGCTCTCATGCTCTTTTCAAACTGGGCCCAGAAGAGTTCCTGGCCATCTTCATCCTCTGTCCACAGCATGTAGGGTTTGTTCTTACTCATGAACAACCGGACCAGGTACGGAAGGTCATCATCATCGATGTCCTCAAGGAAAATCAGTATGACCTTGTCCAGTCTGGTGTCATTGAGGTGCTCTAGGGCTATGCGTAGCTTGGTCATAAACCAGGCCTCATCCACAGAGTTGTTGCTTATTAAGAGGACAGTCTTGAAGCTGTTCTCAACGACGTAGTGGAGAGCTGGGATGTAGAACATCTCGATGTTGAGGTTGTCATCGCCAAAGGCCACTTTCTGGAGATGTGTAAACCTCTCCTGCAGAACTGGCTTCATGATCTGGTCCACCCATTCCTGGTCATCCTCATCGTACATCAGGTTGAGCTGGTACTCGTAGTCCTCGGCATCAAAGTCTTGGTTGATTTCCTCGTAGCCAAATATGGCTAGTTTTAGGAGGAAGAGCTTGTAGTTGAGCCACCAACGTTTCCGATATGCCACCAAGCACAGGATGGCTACTAGAACAGCAGAGAGGGACACACCTGTGGTGATGAGGATATTAATGCCACAGTATTGATCAGGATGAAATGAAAGGATTGGCGATTGCACCATGTCTTTGATGGAAGATAGTGAGCAAAGTGTGTCATCAGGATGGATGAGTTCGACATTGCCTGAATGTAGCCACTCCACAAACCAACTCAAGTCGCATGTACAGGAGAAAGGGTTTCCTGATGCGTCTATTCTTATTGTCCTGTTTGGAAACACTGTTCTGGGTTCTATTGTGGTGATTCTGTTGCGTTCCATGAACAGGTGGTGCAGAGATGGGGTTCTATTGAATAGGGTCTTGGGAATCGAATCAAGTTTGTTATTAGTTAAGTAAAAGAATCCAAGCCTGGGCTGACTTTGAAGTAAGTCTCCAGGAATTGCTGAGATCTCATTGTCACAAAGTTCCAATCTTGTGAGAGAAGTCAAACTGTCAAATACACTGGGAATTAGGACTTTGATGGATGACTGAGAGAGGAGCAGTATTTCAAGTCTCTTCAGAGGGTTGAAAGTTCCTGGTGCCAACATATCTAGATGGTTCCCTCTTAAGTCAAGCCTGACCAACGATCTAAGTCCCAAAAAGAGTGATTTGGAGGTCATGGTATCAAATAAATCTGCGCTCATCAAACCATTTGCACGCATAGCCAGTTTCACGAGAGATGTAGTATTTGTAAATTGGAGTTTCGAACGAATAACCGCCTCTGCAACTGATAAATCTAATGTGCAAAGAGCGTCCATGTAACGAAAAGCTCCATGAATGAGTAGTTGAGGTTCATTGGTGAGGTATAGCTCTTTGAGATTCTTCAGATTCACGAAGGCATGTGCAGAATAGTAATTTTGAATTTCATTGTGAGACATGTTGAGTATTTTAAGATTAGTGAAACCCCATAAAAAATACTTCTTGATATTTGTGAATTTGTTGAAAGAAAGATCCAGATATGCTATGGAA